CACTGGGGACACACTGGGGACACACTGGGGATACTGGGAGGCACTGGGGGGACACTGGGGACACTGTTCCAGGGCCACCACCCTCAGCCGTCGGTCCTCCCAGTAATGACCCCCAGTAAGGGCCAGTGCTCCCAGTGACCCCCAGTGACCCCAGTAATTCCCAGCGATCCCATTAATTCCCAGCAATCCCAGTGACCCCCCAGTGACACCAGTAATTCCCATTGATCCCAGTTATCCCCTGTGATACCATTATTCCCCAGTAATCCCCAGGGATCCCAAGAACCCCCATGATCCCAGTTATCCCCATTAATCCCCGGTAATTCCCAGTACTCCCAGTCCCGCCCCGGTTCTTCTGCCCATTGGTTTGTCCACCTGTCAATCACAGCCTCAGCCCCGCCTTCCCTCTGAGCGCCGTTGCCGATTGGCCGGTCCGCCCAAAAAAGTCCCCTCCTTCCCCGGGGTTTTTCGGCCGCTGATTGGTTCAGCTACGGCCGCTCTGCGCGCTGATTGGCCCGTTCGCGTTCACGCGCCGGGGGCGTCTTCCCGCCCTTTCTTTCCCGCCTGCTCCTCTCCCATTGCTCCCGCGCGTTGTCAATCTCCGCTAATCCCCGCCTTTCCGCCCTCCCATTGGCTCTCCTCGCTGTCAATCGGGCGCGGCGGGCAGTGATTGGCGGCGGGGCGGGGCGGGGGCGGGAGCAGGCGGCCGTGCCGGTCGTGATGGGGGACGCGGCCGCCATGTCGGAGCCGGAGGCGGCGGCGCCGGGCAGCGGCCCCGGGGCGAAGGGAGCGGCGCTGCCGGAGCCGCCGGGGCCGCTGGAGCTCTGCGGCGCCTGCCGGGAGCGCCTCAGCCCCCGGCGGGAGCCGCGGCTGCTGCCCTGCCTGCACTCCGTGTGCCGCGGCTGCCTGGGGGCCGCGCCGGGCGGCGACGAGCAGGGTGAGGGCAGCGCCGGGGGCGCTGGGAGCTGCTGGGGGGGCTGGGAATGCTGGGGGGCACTGGGAATGCTGGGGATACTGGGAATCTTGGGGATACTGGGAATGCTGGGGGTACTGGGAATGCTGGGGGTGCTGGGAATGCTGGGGGGTACTGGGAATGCTGGGGGGTGCTGGGATGGCTGGGTGTGATGGGGGATACTGGGAATGCTGGGGGTACTGGGAATACTGGGGTGTACTGAGAATGCTGGGGGTACTGGGAGCACTGAGGATCACTGGGTTGTGCAGGACACTGCGGGTTACTGGGAGTTCTGGGGAGGCATTGGGGTTACTGGGAGCACTGGGAGTTGCTGGGGGTTACTGGGATCGCTGGGCTGTGCAGGACACTGAGGATGCCTGGGAGCACTGGGATCACTGGGGAGCACTGGAGGTTACTGGGATCGCTGCTGGTCAGTGACGTATTTGGGAGTTACTGGGATCACTGGGGGTTACTGGGAGCACTGGTGGTCAGTGATGTTTTTGGGGTTTACTGGGGTCACTGGGGGTTACTGGGAGCACTGGTGGTCAATGGTGTTTTTGAGCTTACTGGGATCACTGGGTGTTACTGGGAACACCCGGCTTGACTGGGAGCACTGGGGGTTACTGGGATCACTGGATTGTGCAGGTCACTGGGATTGCTGGGGGTCACTGGGATCATTGGGTTTTATGGGAACATTGAGGGTTACTGGGATCACTGGGAGTCACTGGGATCACTGGGTTGTGCAGGTCACTGGGAGCACTGGGGGTTCTGGGACCACTGGTGGTTACTGGGAGCACTGGTGGTCAATGGTGTTATGGGGCTTACTGGGAATGCTGGGTGTTACTGGGATCACTGGTGGTCAGTGATGTTTTTGGGGTTTAGTGGGAGCACTGGTTGTGCAGGACACTGAGGGTCACTGGGAGCACTGGGAGTTACTGGGATCCTTGGTAGTTCCTGGGAGCACTGGGAACACTGGGAGTTACTGGGAGCACTGGGGAGGCACTGGGGCTTACTGGGATCCCTGGGAGTTCCTGGGATCACTGTGGTTGCTGGGTGCTGCAGGAGCTCCTGGAGCTCTGTGGGGAGGGGACAGCCCTGTGACCCCGCTGTGGCCTTGTCCCCTCCTTGGGGACACCGACCCCTCCTGGGGTGGCTTCGGTGGCTCGGGGACCTCCCTGAGGTGGCCCTGGGGCGCCGTTTTGGGGGTGCCCAGCCCCCAGCCCGCTCCTGAGCCGGCGTTTGGTGGCACAGGAGGTGACAGGAGGCCGTGGGGTGACTGTGTCCCCTCTGTGTCCCCTCTGTGTCCCCACAGCCTTCGAGTGCCCCGTGTGCCACCAGCCGTGTCCCCTGGGTGACATCATGGAGAACTTCTTCCTGCAGGACAGTGGGGTGGGCATGGCGCCGGCCGGCAGGCAGGTACTGCCTCCTCTTTAGCGTTAATTAGCGCTAATTAGCGCTGGCCAGGGCCGAGGCACGGCCCCCAGCGTGTCCCTTGTCCCCAGAGCTGCACCAGCTGCGAGGACAACGCGGCGGCCACCAGCTTCTGCCTGGAGTGCGCCGAGCCGCTGTGCGACACCTGCGTGGAGGCCCACCAGAGGGTCAGGTACACCCGGGAGCACAGCGTGCAGCCCCTGGGTGAGTCCTGTGTCACCTGTGTCACCTGTGTCACCTCCCGTCACCTGTGTCACCTGTGTCACCTGTGTCACCTCCCGTCACCTGTGTCACCTCCTGTCCGTGCCGGTTACCAGCTGTGACGCTGTCAGCGGCTCCATCCCAGTGCCGTTCCTGGTTCTGTTCCCAGTGTTGTCCTGGTGCTGTTCTCGTGTTCCCTTGGTGCCATCCCAGCCCCATTCCCGGTGCCATCCCAGCCCCATTCCCGGTGCCATCCCAGCCCCATTCCCAGTGCCATCCCGGTGCCATTCCTGGTGCCATCCCAGCCCCATTGCCGCTGCCATCCCAGCCCCATTCCCGGTGCCATTCCCAGTGCCATCCTAGTGCCATTCCCTGTGCCATCCCAGCCCCATTCCCTGTGCCATCCCAGCCCCATTCCCTGTGCCATCCCAGCCCCA